ACGTCTGCCACCAAGTTGTTTTATTCGATGAAACACTAATATAGCAACTTAACTTAACTTTTTTGTTTTACCACAGGTTGTAAAATTAGCTTTGATCATATGAATAACTGGTTCAGTTCAACTTTGTCGTTCTTTGCCGAGCTTCTTTCTAAGTAATAGGGACAAACTTTATATTAAGTTGATTTGATTGATGTAGTCCAAAGTTTTTTACACTCCAAATTCAATCCGAACAAATCAAGATTAATCTCTAAATCATGGTGGTTGAAGCAAGTCCAATCTCTTCTTCATTGATTTGTTTTTATACTAGAGGAAGACTAATGGCTGCAGAAAAGCTTCCAGTCAAGGTTAATATTATTATTCCAGTTGCATGGGGGGTGTGTTTCATTGTTTTGGTTTTGAGGACCACCATGTTTTGCTGCATTCCAGCGTCTGATTTCATATGCATCCCTCTGTTTCAGTGTCAAAGCAATGGTTCCTTCCTGCAGTGAGGGGGGACATCCCATCCGGATGCGCCGCCCATGGATTTGTCTGCGAAGGCACCCGGATCCTGGTCTTTGGTGGGATGGTTGAGTATGGGAAGTACACAAACAGCCTCTATGAACTTCAGGTGAGCCAGGTTTCTGTTAGTCCTGTAACGCCTGGTGCTGCTGCAACCGATAAAAAAAAAAAAAATCTGCTTTCCGGTTTTCCTCAGGCCAGCCGCTGGCTCTGGAAGAAGCTGAAGCCGAGAGCGCCCAGAAACGCCTCCCTTCCGTGCCCTCGGATCGGACACAGCTTCACGCTGGTGGGGAGCAAGTGTTACCTGTTTGGGGGCTTGGCCAACGACAGCGAGGATCCTAATGGCAACATACCAAGGTGCTGTAAAAATGCCCTCTAACTATCAGAGCACACAGCTCCATTATCATTAGACAGAATTTGTCATTTTGTTTACACAAGTATAAAAACAAAAATAAAATTTGTTTGGAAACAGCTTTCTGGAAAATTTCATCTCTTTTAAAACTGCAGCCATGAAAAATAGTAAAAAAGACTGTAAAATTACAGTTCTAACATTTGTTTTTTATAAATTAGAGCCATCATTTATCACATATCTCTGAGGATTCCTTGTTACATAATCTTGATATCTCATTCTCTCCAGGTCAGCCTTCATTACCTTTACTTGCTTTATGTCATATGACTAATATCTTTTTACAATATTATCTGACTGAAATACCCAATGGTGACCCAGAGGCCATTTTTATATAGTTTGATCATGGATGAGCTATAATGATGATCTGGGATCCTTTGGACGAACGGGAGGCCCAGAGGTTCACAGACTCTATCCACATATTCATCCACATACTTGAGTGTTTGCTGATGAAAAGCTCCACCTCAGCTCAATTTGAGCTGATCTAAAAAAAGAAAATGGTTCCAGTTAGGGGAATAATGAATGAATCTAAAGTTTATTGGTCTTAAACGACTAAAAAGTGGTCTTTTTCATTAAAAAGCATGATTTTTCTCTATTGTATCGAGAGGATCTTTTCATTACACGAGGAGCAAAATTTTTAACAATATGGTTTGGTAATGTTCTAGATGTTTATTAAAAACTGACAAAATAAACAAAGATTATATATGCTTAGACAGCATTAAACATATTTGTTAGACATTACATAATAGGATTTTATTAGGTTATTGGATCGATAAAAAAAGGTAAATATTTGTCATTCCTAATGTAAATAGATGTTAAACTATCAGTAACTGACACAGTATGTCGCTCCAACATACTTTCAGATTATTTGTTAACTCGTTTCAATGAAGTGGAAGCTAAATGTAACGTAGCTCACTGTTTTTAGAGAAATCCAACAGTCTGGTGGAAGAGACTTTGTGCTGCTATCAAAGATATCCGACCTGTGATTGTTTTTTATGTGGTTTCATTTGTTTTGATTAATTAATTTTTATTCCTTTAAACTTCTATGTTGTTTTTATACCACTTTGCACTTTGTGGCAGCTGTGGTTGTTTTAAAGATCTTCATAAATAAAGTTGAGTTAGCAGAGCTTTTAAACAGAAGGTTCTGGTTTCTCTCAGTCCTTCCTTCCTACCTGAAGTGTATTAAATCACAAACTCCTTACCGATCTACTGTATTGTAGATCTGTAGGTAAAAAAGCAATACCCTTTAATGTCTATAAATACCTCTGCTCTATACTAATCTATTGTGAATATGTGATTCTTCACTTACGAATGAACAGAGGCTTAAAGAAATCCATGGACACGATAATTTAATTGGATTTAACAGATTTTAATTTAATAATCCATCCATCAACTCTTCAATTTATTTTTTTGTGTTCCAGTTAAAGTTCCAGTTCAGTTTAGCAGAGTTTGTGTTTAGTTTTGTGATGGAAGGACAGAAAGGGCGTTAGCTGAAATGCCAAACAGCCGGTTGGTGTAAAGATGGTGTTAAATTGTTGTTCCTCTTAAGTTCTTAGAGATTATGATCATCTTTAAAAAGTTAACAAATTAGAGTATATAGATGTCAGTGTTTAGGGCATAAATCATTAGCAGCTAACATGGAGGTCCTCCATGCAAAGAGGAAATAGTTTCTGCTTAACAGAGGTTGGGTTTATTTTATTTAAGGTACCTGGATGATTTCTATGAGTTGGAGCTCCAGCCACTGACGGGAGCGAAGGGCTGGAACGTTCCTGACACTAAGGGCGGCGGCCCCTCTGCACGAGAGTCACACACTTGTGTTTCCTACGCTGGGGTTGGTTCTCCGAAGCTGTACGTGTTCGGCGGGATGCAAGGAAGCCGACTGAATGACCTGTGGCAGCTGGATCTCAGTAGGATCTCTGATTGTCCTCTAGCCTGTTGGGTTAAAAACACGTCCGCTCACCTGTTCTTCTTCTTTGCTTCAGCATCCATGGTTTGGTCCACGGCTGAAACGAGCGGCTGCACTCCTGTTCCCAGAAGTCTTCACTCCGCTAACGTCATCGGAAACAAGTACTAGATGCGGTTCGCTTTGTGTCATGGAGGGAAAAACGGAGCGAAGCTTTAGTTTCTTCGTCTGTTTTCAGGATGTATGTTTTCGGGGGCTGGGTTCCTGTTCCGGAATCAGACCAACACATTTCTGCAGGAAAAGAATGGATCTGCTCCAATTCATTGGACTCTCTTAACTTAGGTGGGTTTTCCTCGTTAAAAGAGTTGCACTTTGAGGTCAGCAGGGTGACTCTCTGACTCGTTTTACTGTTTTAAGACACGATGTGCTGGGAGAGCCTCTGCCCGGAGCAGCAGGATGACATCGAGTCCCAGCTGCAGAACCAGGGGCCGCAGATTGACGATCCCTATGCCTGTTGGCCCAGAGCCAGAGCCGGCCACTGCTCCGCCTCCGTCGGCTCCAGGCTTTACATCTGGAGCGGCCGCGACGGGTACCGCAAGAGCTGGAACTACCAGGTGTGCTGCAAAGACCTGTGGTACCTGGAGACAGGTGAGAGCGGCCGGGAAGGCGGTGCCGAGCGGAACAGAGCAGCCGCATTTAGGTAGAGAGAAGTGACTTCCTGTCCTCTGCTGTCAGATCGACCCGGCACGCCTGAAGGAGTGATGCTGATCAAATCCACGGTCAGCGTGCTTCATGTGGCGTGGCGCCCCCTGGCTGCCGCAGACTGCTACATCCTACAGATCCAGCCGGTGGTCAGGCCTCCGGCCACCACAGCGGCTGAGCCGACTGGAACAGATGGGCAGATCGGGAAGGATAAACCTGCTGAAGGTGAGAATCTGATTATTCTGGGATTGATTTCAAGCTATTTAAATAACTCACCTGTCTCCATTTAGGGTTGATGAGCAGATATTGCTGATATCAACCCCCCTTCTGGATCAACCCATCATCTACTTGCTTTAGAAGCTGTTGCAGTTATTCTGTGTATAGCTGTATCATTGGTAGATGAGGACATTGACTGAGCTATTGCTGCTAACCACTGTAATTGATCATCTTTCTTACCATGGAATTTAACTGTTGCAGTCGTTCGGTCTTCATCCGGGTGTTACTTTAAATAGAAGGTGACACCTGAACCTGTTCATTCCTGTGTTTGGCAGTGTTTCTGTCCAGTATGAAGCCACACACTGAGGTATTGCTGCTGCTATTCTGTCCCTTAGAAAGGGCCTCCAGCCCATTGGTTCTGTTATTTTTCCTCGCCTTCCTGTTAGTATTTTTTTTTTCCTGTCAGTGATTGGACAGGCAGATATGAGCGGTATCGGCCATTTTGTTTGTGAGTGGGTCGGTACATTAGCACATTCCGCAGCCATGAGATCACATGACGCGCATGTTTTGATTTGTTGTTAGTTTTACCTAATAAACACTGTAGAATGAAGCAGAGAGAGGAAAAGTGGTCCTTATGTCCTCCAGCAGCCTAAGTCTATAGCAGCGTAAATATAGAGCTAGATCAGGATAACCTGCGCCGCTCTAACTTTCATAAAAAATTTAAGTTGGTATTTCTTTTCCTAAATTTAAATTGGTATATCATTTTGTATCATTGTGTCATATTTTGGCCATATATTGGTTTCAAAAATGGTCCCAAAAAATATAGGAAATGGATATAGGCGACCGGCTAGACTGACATCACAATAACTGGTATCAGTCAAACCTGAGTCTGTCATCCCTAATTTTATTGGATCGGCTAAAACTAACCAGAACCGAATGGGAAAACTGATCTTGTGATTTCTCAGGCACCCAGTCCCTTCAGGATCAAAGTGAGCTCACAACGGGTCCAGAACAGAAAGCATCTGTCCAGGTCGGTTTGATCAGTCACCTGAACTTAACTGAACCCAAATATTGATAATATCTGGATGACTTTTCACTTTGGTCCTAAATGTTCCCGTTAAATTCTAGGACGCATCGGTTGAACCAGACGAAACCAAAGCAGGGGAGGAGAGTTCTGGGAGAGGGATGGAGGAGTCCGAAAATTGCGGTAGGTTCTGTTGCATAAAACAACAAACAGCCTTTTTTTCCCTCATTGTCTGCCGTAGATCGGCTCAGTCAGGTTTATCAAAAGTAGCTCTATATGCAGTTTTTATAAAGCGAATATAAACATCAGGTTTCATTTGTCTGTTGTTTAGCTGGACTGGCGGTGGAAGATGGCGGCTCATCACAGCTGACAGGTGAGGCAGACAAGTGGAGAAAAGCTCCAGAGTTTAATAAACTAAACCTTATCAGGTCTTTTTTTCATTTCTGTTTCCAGACAAACAAACAGCTTCAGCCTGCAAAACGGGGGATCTGAGCTCCGATCAGGTCAGAACCATGTGCCTCAGTCACACCCATCATCTTCCTCACTTTTCATCACAATATAAACACAGACCTCAGTGGATTTATTTTTCATTTTTAACAACCTCCCATCAACTCAACTAGTTTCTTCTTCTGTGTTTAAAAAAAGCATGCCCACAGCATGATGCTGCCACTACTAAATCTATTTGTCCACCACATTTCAGGAGGAATTTATTTTAAATACGGAGGAATGGATCATGTTATAAACTAAATAAGGGGAGGTAAAAGTGCATAGTCACATTATGTTTGTAGAGAAAATTCAAAAAATCAATCCTGATAAAATACATTATTTATCAGTGTCTGTCCTGATAGTGTTTAGATTCCAACCCCAGGTAAAATGAGCTGCGATGAACCGGACATGGCGCCATCTGCTGACAGTAGCACAGAACAGTTGGTATGCTACATAGAGCCTGGCCAGAAATACTACTAATAATAATAATTAAACTTTATTCATCTCACAATGGAGAAATGTACCTCTGCATTTAACCCACCCACCCCCTGGGGAGCAGTGGGCTGCCATTGTGCGGCGCCTGGGGTGTAATTGGGGGTTTAGGGTCTTGCTCAGGAACCCAGAGTGGAGGCTGTGGGGATAAAACCGGGTACTTGCAACCTTCTTAGAACCCAAGCACACTACTCTACCCATTAGGCCAACATTCCAATTGCAATGAGCAAGAGCTCAAACTAAATAGGGGGAAGTCCCTTAAAAGTCACTTAAAAGGCCAAAATCCAAAAGATCCTGATGAAATAAACTGATCTACAGTAGCTCTGAGTTTTAGTGAATCCTCCAATCAGAAAAAAGTCCATTACTAACAAGCATAAACAGACACAGCATCAAGATGAATAAATTAGTTAAAATTTCACAAGTAGAAATTAAGCAGAAATGAAACACATTTAGTGGCTGTTTCCCCCTTAAGTGGGTTGGTTGGGCCTGATTTCAATCTATTGAATAATATATCTATTTATAATGTTGTTTGTTTCCAGACTGTAGAGAAAAAAATAGCACTGCTATTACTACGACCAGTCTTAAAAATGCATAAAATGGGGAAACTCGAAATAAGCAATAAAGAAAAAAGAAGGAAAAACAATGACCTTGCAGCAATCCCTGGTAGCGAGCAGCAATCCCAGGTAGCGAACAGCAATCCCTGGTAGCAGGTAGCAATCCCTCGTAGCAGGTAGCAATCCCTGGTAGCGAGCAACAATCCCTGGTAGCGAGCAGCAATCCCACGTAACAGGTAGCAATCCCTTGTAGCAAGCAACAGTCCCTCGTAGCGAGCATCAATCCCTGGTAGCAGGTAGCAATCCCTCGTAGCGAGCAACAGGCCCTCGTAGCGAGCAGCAATCCCTCGTAACGATCAGCAATCCCTCCTGTATGGATTCATGCATCAGGCTAGACCTAATTCCCACAAAGAACCAATGGAAACATGGTTGTTCTCCAACATCCAGCCTTAATGCTGGATCGGGTCAAAGTTTAGTAAAGTTCTGGTTTCTGTTTTCAGGTTAAGGAGAACCAAGATGGCTCCACGTGGTTTGATGTTGGCGTGTTTAAGACGCTCTACTGTGAGGTCAGCCACTACTTCCTGCCTGCTGAGGACGAGCAGGTGAGACCGCCACACAGCTCACCCTGAGCGGTGTAAGGTGGATCTATTGACTGTATTTCTACGTTCTGCCAGGCCTTTCACCAGAGGAAGCTTCCGGGGCCTCAGGACTACCAGGGCAGGGAGAAGCAGGAACTGAGTCCAGGTCAGATGTACAGGTTCAGAGTCGCAGGGATCAACTGCTTCGCTCAGGGAGACTTCAGCCCCGCCAGCGAGTTTAAGACGTGCCAGCCTGGCTTTCCTGGAGCGCCCGCCGCCGTCAAGATCTCCAAGGTGACCAAGCAGGAACTGGCTGAACGGGTTTAAAGATGGTGAGCTGTGGTGGAATCAGGGTTCTGCTTGGTGTGCAGGTCAATGATTCGGTCCAGATCACCTGGGAGCCCCCCTCGTCTCCGTCGGGTCGGATCCTGGAGTACTCCATGTACCTGGCGGTGAGGAAGAGCCGCTCCAGCTCAGAGCGGCCGGGACAGATGGCCTTCATCAGAATATACCGCGGTACCAAGACGTCTTGTTTGGTTGGCTCCTCCCACCTGGAGAACGCTCACATCGACAGCTCTTCGTCCTGTCGGCCTGCCGTCGTCTTCCGCATTGCTGCGAAGAACGAACAGGGCTACGGGCCGGCGACGCAGATCCGCTGGATCCAAGGTGGGAGGGGGAGGGGCTTAGTAACTTCCTGTTCATTCCTCACCCTTATTCCTTCCTTCTAATCATTCTGTTTCTTAGATCCCATCACACTGCGAGCCTCTGCATCCAAAACAGACTGCAGTGCGGAGGCTGACCCGGATGCAGCTGACAGGTAACAGCAGTGCAGTGAGCGTCCATGTTTGGACCTTAGCAGGGTTCTGGGAGGAGGGGAAAGAATCTGGGTTATGGCGCTGTCACACCTTGAAGATTTAGCCGACGTCCCAGTATCTCCTAAAATGCTAGCATACGCTGAACTTTCTATGTATTTTTTCATGTTTGGGTGTATGCACAGGGCATATATAACGAGTCTAGAGCGTATGTCCAACTTATGCATAACACACGGCAGCGTAATGCCAATGAAATGATGCACAAGCCAGTGTCCTAAGGGGGGCAGAGATGCGCCTGGAGGCGCTCAGCCTGCATAAAAAGCACAAGAAGATTTCTCTAAATTTTGCAGTTGCTGTAAAGCTGCTGTTTGCCTTCTGCCAAAAAAAGAAATAAAGGTTTGCAGTCGCAGCAGATTCAGCTTCATGTCTGCTAGGAAGTTTATTGGTTGAGGCCATGGGCGTGAACGCAGGCAGGATCCAGCACTGACCTTCACGCTCACCCTACAACTGGAACTGAATTAAATGGATAAGATCATGCTGATGTTGGAGGACAGCTACTATATGTACGTATTAGCGTCTTAGCCTTGCAGGATCCTCCAGCTCTTCTGGAATGTCTGAAGTTTGGAGGAGAACTGATGTTTCTTCCTGTGAACCCC